TAACAATAAAGTATATATTTTATTCTAAATGACCGCCCTTGTTTGAATACAGGCCCTTAGACAATTTGGTCAGTCATAAATGGCGGCACGAATCTTTTCTAGCGGAATTCCCTTTGCTTCTCGAACAAGGGTTCGCTTCAGTGCCTCCAAGTTTGGGTGGGACTTTCGGCAAGCCTTGAGCTCTAATTCAGTCCATAAAGAATAATCTATCCGGTTGAGGTCGGGTCTGGAGGAGGGCCACTCGTACGCCGCGATGAAGGCTAGTACATTCTCCCTCAACCAAGCTTGGGTGCTTTTTGCCTTAGAGAATGGCGCCGAGTCTTGCTGAAAAACCCAATCCTTATTGTGAAATAACGTATCAAACAGGGGTTTCATCACGGGCTCTTAAATTTCACTCTGATCATTCTTGGCTTTCACCTTGACACCTTTTGCAGAAATGGAGCCAGATGATTAGTGCGCGAGACATTACGTGCAGAAGCTGGGACATCCTTGCTAATTTTAGCGTACACTTTATTGTTTTGTCGTATGAACTTTACTTCGACAGTAAACATTTTCTCGTCGGTGTAGAGTATCTGCCTGGCATCATGTCCCCTCAGCAGTAATGGACAACGTTCGCGTCGTAACTTACGAAGACGATCATTTAAAAAGTGAACTTTTCTACGGCTATAGGCCTTTACCTTATGATCTTAAGGTATTCTTTCACTAATCTGTTCACTGAAACGCGCGAAATATTAGTCTGCAGAGCGAGTTTCTTCTGAGTGCGACATGGATTCACTCTCGGATGATTTTGGTGTTCGCAGGCGTCCCCACAGAGCGTGGCCGACCACTCCTTTGGCGATCTTACAGAGAATTTGCTTCTTTGTACCGCTGTATTGTGTAATAGTTGCATCGGTTTTTTTCCCGCCTTAAATAGCGAAATGACAGTTGCACGTAATTGTCTCCTTAAAACATAAAGAAATGAATCTACGATACAAATAAACGAGAAGTTAACATTCCAAATTCAAAATGGGTAAAAAAAATAACAACCAGTAACATTTTATTTTTTCAGTAAAAAGTTTGTCTTATGAACACTTTCGGTATATGTACGTACATATAGTTTATTTTTTATTTTTTTTTATTACAGAAAACAATCTTAATTATTTATATGTGTAAATAAATAACAACAACAGCAGCATGTTGCGTTAGCACATCGAAAATATGGTGATCCTATAGTGGCCTGGAAGCTAAGGACAGAGAAGAATGGCATTCCTTGGGGGAGGCTTTTACCCGATCGGGGTCCATGCATTAAATTAACTTAGGTAGTTGTAATCAACCTAATCAAATTTATTAATATCTAAACTAATTTACAAAATGATATTTAATTTTTATCAATTTATATAATACAATTGGAATTATTTAATATGTATGATGCATGGAATTAAATAAAGCTTTATTATTATTTATTATTATAGTGGCCTGAGAAACATTTGAATCTTTGATAGTACAACGATCCTAACTATCTATATAACCAATAGTACATAAGTACTATTGGTTATATAGATAGTTAACCTTTTCGATAATATTGCCTCTTTATAGACTATAATGTACATAAACATTTTTCATTGTTAAATATTGTACCTACTTTAAGATAATTTACTTAATTTTTTTAATTACTAGTTTTCACATCGATGTCATTGAGTTTTGATATTTCGTTAATGTGATTATATTGTCAAAGAATTGATCGAAATTACTGTTATTGCCACAAGACAGTTGTACAAAGTTGTTCATTGCATAAGAGTGACAAAAAAAATAAAATACACATCATTATTATATCGTTTAATTGTTATATTACAACTAAAACGTGTATTTATATAAAAAAAAAATATCGACAAAAGTAAAATCACAAAGTCAACCACGATTGGCGAATTTTCCACGCACTTATTACTTTCTTGATATTAGTGAGCGTATTTTCATTAATGTACAGGCAAAAAGATATATTGTTACAAATATTAGTTTCGATTTAGATTAGAATACGTATGTTCTTATTATTCTATTTTGATAAATGTGCATTCACAATGCAATTGAGGAGCGATAGGTTGTTAAGCAACTTTCGCAAAGGTCGGTCATCGGATGGGTGACCAAAAATATTATCCCGAGCTCCTGCGTGCTTCGGAAACGATAATCCGTTGTTCCCGGCCGCATATGCAGTCGTTAATATCCACCATTCCACACTGGGCCAGCATGGTGGGTCATGTGGCTCATTCTCCCTATTCGATTTAAATCAATTCCATCCCCAGGAAGGGGGACCCAGCACTGGGGACATTAATAGGTTGGTCATGATGATTCACAGTCATTTATTGGACGGTCATTTATTGGTAAATATTCTTAATGGAATAAAAATTGTTAATATATTTTTTCATTTATAGCCGAGGGTTACGGATACGGGAACACTTATCCCACTTATCATACCACACAGCGAGTAATGAATAGAATATATATATTGACCCTATCTGTGTCATTGATGTCGCGCGCATTGAGTTCGTTTCATTTTGTCTTTAAGCCCAACATTAATATTTACCGTGATGGATGAGTTAGCAATTAGGTATGTAATATAATACATTTTTTTACGCTTGCAATGAAATTATTATTTAAATTTTAACAATAGATGTGTCAGGACTTTTTCGTGCACAGAACAATGTTTAATGATGTGAAATATTATAATAATAATCTTAGTTGGGTTAATGATTATAACTCGAGGACATTTTAGAACAATGGCTGATATACTCACTTAATCTTTATAGTGTATGTAGCTACTTTAAAGAAAACAATAATTTTGTTTAAAATCGTTAATTTTTTATTTAGTTTCGATCTATTAATACTAATTCCCACATTACCCTCAAGAGTAGGGTATTAAATCGAGTGATGTTTTATATGAAACGATATTGATGTATGTTTTATTAGTTTGCGAATATTCACTGTTCAAAAAAGGATTGTATCAATCATTCAGATATAAATAGTTCCCACGTCGTTCGTCACTATAGCAAAACTAAAATGTAATAATTTTTATGTCGTTTCATAAGTTATTATCATCAATAACTCCTTGTAACCGAGTTAGAGCGCAGCGTGTCCATACAACAAATATTTTAAATGAAATCAAATGTTATTATGATTTATTGTCACTATAGTAATGACAGTCAAGGCTACAAGCTAATTGTATTTAATCATAACATAGTCTCTATCTGTTGAATGGTTGTATGCCGTCCATTATATTATAATTAAATTCGTTAATTAATTATATACTATAATTAAGTATATAATTTAAAAAAATAGTTCCATTAGTTTTGTTTTGTCCACTACAAACAAACTGAAACAATATAAAATATTTTTATTTTCTCTTTACAAATTAGTACAGATATTATTTTTTGTCATTTTACAACATATCTAATAGGTTGAGGAAAAGTTTCTTCGCATTTTATATGAAAATTCGAAACATTTCTTAGTAAAGTTAATTTATATTTAACTAAAGTATGTAGGTACCATTTTGTTCGATAAATTTTTGATCCCATTCTTATAGAAATTCTAGAGCTTCTGATCTATAAACCGCGACAAATGGTTTTGGCAGTCCTCGCGTGATGTTAATCTGACACTGTCTAAAGAATTCTTAAGAGACTGGAACAGGTGGAAATCTGAAGGTGCAAAGTCAAGACTATACGGAGGATGCATTAACACCACCTAGCCAAACTTTCTTAATTTTCTTCGAGTGGCAAAAGATGTGTGAGGTGAGGAGGAACGCTAGTTATCATGATGAAATTCCACACGCCTTCTATTGCCGTACAATTTCTTTTCGCGGCTTGGATTGCATTTTTACCTTTTTTTTGTTATCATTTTTATGTGTCGAATTTCTTCATAAGATTCACTCAATTCGATAGTAAGAAAAACAAATGAAAATCACATATTTTTCCTAACATGAATTCGGAAAACGGTACAGCCAGAAATATTATATTACAAGTTTATGCATACTATATGCGAAAACACTTTTTCCCTAACCTAATAATGTAGTAGTTAACTTTTTTAAATTACATTTATCTGCTAATGAATATATAGGACATTGCTTCGCAAACTATTCACTTGTCCCTTGGGAACGTAAAGTCCCATAGTTTTTTAGCTTACACGAATATTTGTCAGCGATTATGTTGTATCCTGTTGCAGCGCAGACGACGACGCAATCGTTTGTCTGCTGTTGTTGTGCTGGAACCAGTTTGTTGCGTGACGCCGAATGCATGATTTCTGGTAGTTTTTTCTAGACACCGATCAACCGAGTAGAGATCCCCATACAAATTTATGGATGTGTTCACTCTGATGGACGCTTATTATATATAATTTTTGATACACTTAAAGCCACACTACTTAAGCTAACTTGAAACATTTTTTTTTTATTTAAACCTCTTCTCTTCCCTTAAATTCATTACTGATTATTATTATTCTAAAAATAAATGATTAACTTATGTATTCTAGATTAAATGCGATATTATTCACGTTCAATGTAAAAGTTATCAACGATATAGTATTTTGTGACGAAAATATTATTTAAGCGTTAAACTATATAGATATATATATTTTTATAAAAGCATTCAAAAGCTATTTTGCCTCTAACATCTTCAATTAAAACATCTAACCGTGTAAAATATGGCCAATGAGTGTCAAGAACACCACAATGAAACCCACTTAACCTCCAACGTTTAAGTATTTAGCGTCGCCTGAAGGCCTATGAATGTTTCTGAATTAGATTGCGACAGACGATATTATATATATATATAAAACCTACCTCAAACACATTATTTGATGTAGGTAAATAACACTTGTTTGTTTTTTAATGAAACTGATTGGTCATACTGTAATATATATTGAAGAGACAGAACCCTTAACCGAACGCTTTGAGAAGTAACTTTTAAAATAAAAAATAAACTTCAGAACTATTATGTTTAAGCAAGGGGAAAATACAATTACGCATTCTTTTGTAACTAAGACAAATTGAATCTTGCATCCTTGGAGCCACCCAGTGGGCGATGTGCACTCGTTAAATCCTTGATGTTATGTGCACTAAAAACCCCTCGGCGTGCCTTCGTTCCGGAGAGGTATGTGGGAACCGCGTCCAAGTCACTGGGAACGTAATCAAAACCTATAAGTTTCTTCTGTTCACCTAAAAACACGGAAATTTGTAATTAAGCAGATCATCAAAGAAGTCTTTTGAATCGTACGACTCCTTATAATTAAATATAAATAAGTATTGTTTTCGAATTCTCTTATCTCACGGAATAAAACCACAAAAGTAGCTCTACGAAAGTCGGTCGATAATAATGATGTTGATTCCGGATAAACAGTTCATTAATGATAAGTACAATGTTTCTGTGGATCACAGAAGGTCAATAATGTCCATCCGTCGTTAGGTACTGGAGTTAATCTCCAGACTGTTTGTTTGTTCACTCACACCGATTACACAATTATATTTTGATATTTCTTCACCGTTCTATGTGATGTAATTTTACTTAAAGTACCATGTGTTCTAGCTTTTGCTTTTGCTTAAAATAAAAAAAGAAACTCTGGATTATTCGATTAGTCAAATAGGTACCTATACTTTTATAGATTTCTCATGTCTTTCACAACTACGTTACTAAACTGACTTTAATCCATAAATAACAAATATTAACTGTTTTGAATCTATAAATTTAAAGTTTTGTTCACGTCCATTTAAATATGTCGTAATTCGTTGTTTAATAAGAAAATACAAAAACAATTTGAAACAAATTTCCTCTATTTAGATTGTCATTGAATATTTAGAAAAAATTAAAATGGCTTTATTTTCTTATGTGAGTTTCATATGAAATAAACAAAAACATGTCAAATGGTGAAGTACAACGAAAACGAAAAATTTTATATGCAAACTTTAAACTGCCGTAGGTTACTTAATTTTTAACTGACTTGAAAATTGAAAAGGAGAAGGTTGTACGTTCGACGCCGATGTATGTTTTTTTTATGTATGTTCACCGATATTCTCGTCTATTGTTGACAGATTTTCAAAATTCTTTTCATTCGACAGATTATTATAGACCGAGGTGGTCCCATTTAAATTTTATCGAAATGGAATATATAGTTTTCCTTATATAACAAAACAAAATACACTTTTCATCAGATATCACCTAAATATTTAGTTCATATGTTTATTTCAGCTAAAAAAACTAAATACGTATCGTATTTCGCATTCATTCAAAATTCGAAAACGGGATTTTCTGTATTCAATGGGTATGTATATTTTTTTAAGTAGGTATATTCATCTATTTCTTATTGAATTGTTAACCAATTTCTATCAAACTAGCTGTTTTACCGCGATTTCGCCTGCGTAAATTATAGTCCATTTCCTCCGCGTGTTATATAGATTTCCATAGATGAAATACTTATAAATCGGTCCAATAGTTTCGGAGCCTTTCCAAAGCAAACAAACAAGCAATCAAATCTTTCCTCTTTTTTTCAATTGTCAATTGGAAACAATTATGTGGAGCATATGAATCAACTTTTAAGGCACTCCTTTGACAGCATTGTGAAACAAAAAATCAAAATATAATTTAATCGAATTTACAAGAATAAATGTTTTTATATATTATAGCATTTACCCTATTTTTAGATTTCTAAGGTAGCCGCGAACTTAAACCTTTACTTTTTGAGATTTTTGAGTACAAAGGAAGGTCTGTCGTTAATCTTTCACCTGCGTTATCTATTTTGGCAAATTTATTTGTGAAATAAAACGAACTATTTAAAAAAATCAGATATATAATTCTTTAACACAACAAAAACAGAACCTTTTAAAATAATTTAATATAGTCTATTGTTATTACCTCTTGAGATGCATAATATTTTAAATGGACTGCCTTACTTTGGCAATAATTAAAGTCTAACTTTAAGATAGCTCCATATTACAAATAATCAATCATTTGAAACTTATATCTAAATCACTCGGTACTTTTATATTCTTATTATTACATAATTTTGATTATTTACCACTAATATTGCAGAAGCTATTTCCTAAAATACAATTACAAATTAGGGGACACCCGGTAACACCAGAGATAAATTAGTAACGCTAGAGAACAAGGTAGCACCTGCGCATAAAGACTTCTAATCACATAACGTAATCTAACATTAACAAGGCAACAAATAAAAAACTTATAAACATAAATGAGATCAAAAATTAAAATAAAACAATAAAGAAATAGCGAACAATTAATTACAAGTCTTATATCTTCTCAAAAACTTCTAACGACTCTTTAAAAACATAATAAGAGCGACAACCTTTCTTAACAAGTGCAGGTACAGGTAATTTTTTGACAATATTTTCATGATTAACGTATGAAATATCCTTTTTATCCAAACGAAAACGTTTGGCGTTTTCATCTACCACTCGTAAAAACATTACTTGTATTTCTCCGTCGTCCTCAATTTCTGTTAATGTTTTGCAAGCATAGGTGTAGGATTTATTTTTAGATGCATCTACATACAATTTAACTAATAGAAAGTCACCGCGTCCTATCTTTGCATTAATGTCATAGCTGGCACTAGGTTCTTTATCAGATGAATAGCTTTTATCTGATTCAGAATTATAAATTTTACTGTTTATATTTTGGCGTCTATTGGTCAATTCCTGTAACTGTTTGGTAATTTTTAAAGATACTAATGGTGTGTCGTCATCAGATATAATTTCCAAATCTAAAGTCAAAGTATCAGAAGCCATGACATCAATCATGTGTGCTTCTAAATCTTCTGGCAGAGCATCTTCATTAGTCAGGTCTGGGAGAAGTTCATTCTTATTTGCATCAAAAAGAACTGCAAGGTCATAAAGTTTTGGGTTAAGGCACGAACAGAATCCTCTTGGTCTTAGGCTCTCACTCTCACAAAAACGGTTAGGTCCCTGTATTCTAGCTTCCCATAACAGTTTGAGAAAACCTGATGTACTTTTAGCGTTCCTACAAGTCGTGGAATACTTTTAGGTAGGGCTTTATGTTGGTTCTCGATATCATTGGAGTCAATTACATATAATATTATTTTACTAACATTTTTCATCTCCTCATAGAATTGCCAAACATTAGCAATGTCTTTACCATTAGCTACGATTTTGTCCGCCGTTCTTTTGAGAAATCCTCCTATTCCATCAGCTGGCCCTTTTCCGTGGCCAGCTTCAAAAAATGACCATGTCATATTAACAAACCCGTAATCAAAAAACCTTGTACACATTAAATAAAAATTTTGCTTTTGCCGGTATTGGGTGCTTGGGCCATCCGAGTAGAAATGGACTGTGTTGATATCTGCAAAATTAGACCTTATACTTTTCAAAATTGGATCTAAGTGGCACCAAATCGCTGCAGGCTGATGGTTGTTGGATTCGGAAATAGTACAAAATGAATTAACTTCATAACCTTTTGCAGAGTTTTTGTTAAATGTATACACTACAACAGTATGAAGAGAAATTTGTTTACGCGACCCTCCAAAATGGTGGGATTGTACTTCTTGGCTATGTTTGCAGTTGTAATTTTCACTGAAATCGGCGACCAAAATGCATTCATATGGACGTATATTATCAAGACAGTGGCGGAAACTTTGAAATTATATCTTAATATTAAATACATGTATTTTAAACGCCTTAAGATCATTCTCGAATATTTTGACAAATGCTTCAGCCTCCTCATTTTTATATTCTTTAACATTTTTTATAGTTTTTAATAATTTTTCGTCTTTCTTGTAACTATCTTCTTTTCTTATCCATTCTGGCCATGTGATAGTACCGCTTATATTCTTTCGGAAATATTCATATTTTTTATTAGCACATAGATCACATATACCATACATACAATTTTTTGACTTCACATTACAAACAGTCGACTCAATAAGAATATTTAAGTTGTCAGTACCTGTTATACCTTTTTTTTTTTCAAAACATTAGCTTTGTATGCAAAGTTTGTGTGTATCTTGCATAGACACGTATTTCGACCATCAACAGAAGCACTAACCACATAAAATAGCTTATTTCTTGTAAAATAAAAATATGAACAACGAAGGTCAGGGTTCTCTTTAATAAATGCTTTATATAAATTTTTCATAGAATCCAACATAGATCTTTTTTGAACCTTCACCTGTGCTTTTGTGACAGTTTCTTTTTTGCCGGCTGTAGCTCCTGAAACATCATCTCTCAAATAAAAATCTTTAATTCGTCTCTTTAACACAATTTCATTCTCAATGCAGAATTTCCTTTTTACTATTTTGTCAATTCCTAAATTATTCATAAGCATCTTTTTCTTCATTCGTGAGTCTATGACTTCCACAGTTGAAAAAATTTTCTTAATCACCTCTCGTTCTTTCCTCGATTTTGTTTGTTTAAATGTCTTCTTAATAGCTTCACTCAGGACCTTGTATCGTAAGTCTTCATTTTTCTCTTCATTCTTCTTTTTCTTTTCTCTTTCAAACCTTTTTTTGTACTTGTCATATTTTTGTTTCAACTTTTTAATATTTTGCTTAAGTATTTGGTTTTCTCTATGTACGCGTGCCCTGTCCTTTTTAACTTTATTTTTGCGTCTATTTTTTGGGGTCCCAGATGGTGAAGTCACACGAACGTATTCTTGGCGTTAGCGGTGGAGTGGCTTAAGGCGAAGCGACCGGTGTAGTTGTAGGAGTGATATTTGTCACAGGTGCATTTCGTGGGCTTTCCTTGCCAAATCGTGGTGTTAACCGTGGAGAACAGCGTACTGTATTTCGAAGACCTGGTGAAGGTCTAAAACAGGGTGGCGGCGTAATTCGTGAGGATCGATCTCGGGACGATGGCGATGGTGGCGGAGTTCCATCTTGTACATTTTTAATCGAATGTAGGCGAATCTGGAGGTGTCTGTTGTAATAAGCCTTCTGCAGCTTTCTTTCGTGCCTTCAACTGCCTTTTCCTTAGTTTCCATATCACGTTTGCATTATACCGTTCTTTTGGTGTTAAAACTTTGACCAATCTTTTAGTTTTATGATATCTTTCCCTTTGCTTTTGCTTAGCTTTTTCGTATTTTTCTCTATCATTTTTAAGCCTTTCTCTATAACGCTTTTGTTTCTCTGCCGCACTAAGCGGCATTTTACTTTTGTGTAGTCGAAAGTCCAAACCTAAGACAAAGTAAACAATATTATTAAATACTTTGGCAGTCCGAGATATCCAACTATGAGTGTAAATATATCCCACTTATAGTCTTTTATGATTATAAGGCGTATGCATTTTATTAATAATGGTTATTAAAAAAAGGTTTGGATTTATATATTTTGATTTCCCGACGTTTCCGACTTTACGGGAGCCATGGTCACGAAATGACCACTTAAGCAATACTGGAACTAATTGTACACGCGTTGTTGCAAGTTAAAGTGCTTTATTTAATATAAATGCATTAACTATTTATGTCAGACTACTCACATTGTCTCTGGCGTTACTGGTATCGCAAGAGACAATTCTGCTGCGTTACCAGTAACGCAGTAGAAAATTCATGGTAAAAATACAAATAAGTAATTCTACGTTGCAAATTGAACCATTATTTTAACTTTGCCTTCAAATCAGACGTTATGGTTAAAATTTTATTATAATAATAGTAAAATATTCCACAAACTTACCACGATGTCCGGGGTAACAGTGCGGAGCAACAATAAACCCACACGCACTACTTGGGAACGCAACGAACACTGGCGGGGGGAGAAACGTCGAAAGAAAATAACGGTCAACATCGACGTGAAATTAGACAAAAGGCAGCGCTAGCGACGCCAAATAAGTACTCTCCGCGCGATTATTTCAAAACTAAAGAAGTCACTCGGGAGAACTAAGTTTTGAGACATTATTGGCGACAAATCCTAATAAATAATTATTAAATATTGTTTAAATACAATTAATAAAATGTTGTACTGAAGATAAATGCTTATTTAATGTATATTTTAAATATGTCGAAATAATTGGGTAGCTTGATATATATTTTTTAAGATGTGACTTGATTTGCTTGATCGACTATGCCTGGTGACACAGAGTTTTTGTATGGAGAGTTAAAATGTTCTCCTGCGATACTGTAGCTTGAAACGTTTAAAATTGTTAAAATTAAAAAGTCTTTGTGCTCATGTTACTAAATGCATCTAATTTTAGGTTAATATAGAAAAAAAGAAGTTTATAAGTGAGTTTTATTCAATATGATTTTTCTAGAGCGCGGACAAGAAAGGAGTGTCTTAAAAGTTGACTCTTTTCCTAATACTCACTATGTTGAATAATAGATGTGTAATATTTTTAGTGTTACTTATTATATAAACATATCAATATTAATAAAAAACTTTTTTCAAAAAATAGAAACACCTTCAATTTTAAAAAGTGACACTTAATACTTATCTCAAAAGCGACTTATTTAAGAATTTCCTCAATCGCCCGATTTCAAAAAGAATCGCCCGATTTCAATAGCATTTTCTTAAATAAGTCGCTTTTTAAGATAATCTTATATATTATTTTTGTAAGTTTTTTAAAGTATGTTCAATTTTTTTAAAGTTTTTTGTTCTGTAGAAAATTAATATAATTGATCATTTTTAGTTAAGCAAAACCAAGTTTTATTTATAACAGGAGCATGCTCCGTTCGGACACGAGGCAAGAATAACAAATGAAAATATTCTAAATTTGCAATATTTGCATCGCTAATATCACTGTAAGGTGAAGACCATGAGGATTTTAATGAACGTTTGTGATCGAGCTCTAGGACTTTCAACCTTGTACATAATTTTTTTTTTTTTTTTTTTTTTTTATTTATTAAGGAACAAACAGTTATACATTTTACTTATCATAATTAAATATAATATATGTTTCTAAACCTACAGTTCCCTCAATGATAACAATCTTTATTTTTCTTATGTTAACCTCCGCAATTAAAGAAAGCACTCAAAATTATCAATATAAAGAAAATAAAAGTGTTTAAAAGTTACTGTAAAAAAAATCAAATCAAATAAAATAACATAGACAAATAATTACAACAATCTTCACTTAAACTTTATATAAGAGATCAGTGATGCGATTTTTAAATATATTTAAAGATGAGTTAAATAAATCTACCACACTCAGTTTATGATTGTACAAAATACAAGCCCTCCCTATAAATGTATATTTTAGACACAAAGAAAGACTCTTCTCTCTTGTACTATAATGATCGTTTAAAAATCTCTCCACCGTAAAAACATTAGAGTCGATATTTCAAAATGTAAGTCTCGCCGAATGCCGCGTCCGGCGGCGGCGGGACACGCTTTAGAAGTCCGACCGCGTCTCGACCATCGGTAGACCGACAAAGGCTTCCATAGAAACGTTTATAGATAGACGAACGTTTATCAGCGTCTGCGTAATTTTTGTTTGGCCTCATTCGCAACGTAACTAATTTTTATTCAAAATTTTAATAACCTAATGTTAGTATGAGTATTCTTTTATTATATACCTATAACTTAAAAAACAAATTGATTCGAATTGAATGTCAAGATCGTATCTGATTAACATTAAAATTCGGAGTCATGTGATTATTATTATACTATGCATTAAAATATAATTTGACTAATTTTCTACCAGCGGCTTCAACTGTGAGGTCTCTATGGAACCGTTTAGTGAGATAAAAAGTTGACTATACCGATAACACAGTTGGGATAAAAAGTGTTAATCCAAACTGAGAATTATCGATCAGTAGTTTCTGCGCAACAAACATCCATTCTCACAAACTTAAGTATTTATAATATTAGTAAGAAAGCTGCAACAAATTGGTTAACTGAGTAGCGTAAACTAGCGTAATTGAAACAATATGTTGTTTTACGAGTTATTTCGACTGAAATTAATTGTTTACCAAATGATGGCGGCACAACGACAGCTTTGACTTTAAAACATAAGTTGCGGTTACAAACATTATAGTAAGAACAATGTATCGCTGTCATTGACATTTTAAGCTAACACCAGGAGGACACCGGTTAATACATACAAGTTTGATAATTACAGACCTAGCAACTCTTTCCGTAACTGACGAGCAGCACGAAAGTAGAAAATTTATTAGAAGCCTAACATCCATTATACCATCAAATTAAGTCAACAAGTCTCAATTTGACGTTACCTATTCTAATATTGTAAATTTTCTTAAGGCAAATTATTATAACGTTTTAATAACGAGACGGAGAAGGTTACTTTGATGGATTCGGAGAATACAGATTGTTTGTCTATCGTTGTGCGTCATTAAAAGACAAGACAATATGCTAATCCGTCGGCCGTCATATTTTATTTTTGTAATTTATTAATAAAATCCAAGATAACAAGGTTTTATTAGACACTAGCTGTATCCCGCGACTTCGCCCACATGGTCCGAGGGCACTGTGTACACATTGACCTTCTACAGGTATATTGGAGTTTTAAGCTAATCTTAATTAAAAATCTGCCAGTGAGCATTCACCACTGTATTATCATCATCAAGCTAATCGACGTCCTCACTGTTGGGGCGTAGGCCTGCTCAATAGATTGAACCAAATAACCGGTGTTTCTGTGGATAGCGCGCAAGTCTTTGTAGAATAGTCCAGTTGCTCTTCTTTCCAGTTTACGCAGTAGAATCGACACGTCTTGCAAAAAATACAAACGAATGTTTTCTTTGAAAAAAATAGTTCTTTTATTGAAGTGGTTTTATAATTATGACATCATTTTGATTGGATCTAGACATTTGACTACTGTTCTTATTCTGGACTTTCAGGGGCTTTCATTTTAAGAGCTTTCAAAAGCCTGATGCTTTGCTTCTGCAAGATTCTACGACTGATCCTCAAAGTAACTTGACGGTCAGCCTGTTCTTGCTTTCTGAATTCAGCATTTTCAGATAATTTTGTGTGTGACGCAAAATTAAATTTTGCCAACGGACAATCTGTCACCTCCTCTATTTGTAGGTATCGAACGGATCCAGTTTTGTCCACTCAGTATTTTTTTCGGTTTAGTACATTTTTCGCAAACATAATTTAACCTCATTTAAGTAAATATTAAAGTAACTCGTTAATAGTCATCCATATATTATTTTTTGTCCAATGAATAATTCTCCACCAAAATATATTATTTGCAAAACCGGCACTTTAACTTTTTAAGCTATAAGTCACAAACCAACAATATCTCATGCAATGAGATTTTTTTTTTACATTCCCCCTTTATCCAAAAAAAAATTTTTCAAGATTTTATTTTTGTCGGTGTGATTAGTGTATACCTTTCTAATACGTTTTTGAGCTAAACCGCTGGCGGACAGACAGATAAACGGACATGGCGAAACTATAAGGGTTCCTTGTTGATTACGGAACCCAAAAATTGAAAAGATATATAAAAAAATCAAAAGAACAGTATCTAGTGATCAGTGTAACATTTACGTGTACATAACCAAGGTCACATGTGCGTTTAATTTTAGCGACATCGCTAGTACCGATTAGAGTTATGCAAAACATTATTTAATCCTGCGTAAACAGCTTAAATCATTTAATAATGGATTTGGGAAAGGATTAAAATGACAATTTGATTAGTAAACAATGGTTACTATGGTTACGTATTAATGCCTTATATGAACTTCCACTATCATTTTCATCCCTTTATGTGCTATTTTTCAGGATAAAATATTCATATAGAGGTACTGTAGCAGACTTTTGTTTAGAACTTTTAAATGGGAATAATTTCGTAATACATGATTTTTCCGTAACTTTCACGTTTACGTAACGCAAGCAATAAAAGCTCTCAAAAAGTAAAATATTCCCTCGTTTTTGCAACATTTTACATTGCAGCTCCACTCCTATAAGTTATAGCGTGATATTAAATAGGCTATAAGCTTCCTCGATAAATGGACTACTCAACAGGATAAAAATAATTCAATTCGAACCAGTAGTTCCTGATATTATAGAGTTCAAACAAAAAAACTCTTCAGCTTTATTATTAGTAAGCTATAGATAAATAAACAATGTAAAGTTATAGAAAAGAGCAAAACAGATTGCTATTGTACGAGGGTCAAACTGAAAGTTTTTAGAAAATCAAAAACTGATTACATTAGCCAGTTATTAGTTTTATTATATCTTTTCAAAATATTGTCCATTCACGTCAATACACCGCTGCATGCGATGGAACCACTGGGAAAAGCACTTTGCCCACTCGTCCTTAGGGGTCTCTTCAATGGCATCGCGATACGCAGCCACCGCTTCTTCAGCATTCATAAACCGCTTTCCTTTAAGTTTTTCTTTAATTTTTGGAAATAAATAAAAATCACAAGGCGCGAGGTCGGGGCTATACGGCGGGTGACCCAGTAATTCAACGTTTGATGTCGCCAAATAGTCGATCGTTCGCTTGGCGGTGTGCGACGAGGCGTTGTCGTGGTGAAGGAGGATCCTACTGCGAGGTCGTTTCTCTCGAACTTTTTCCAAGACAAGTGGCAAACAATTGGTAGTGTACCATTCTGCAGAAACTGTTTTTTGATCCTCTAACACAATTGTTGCAAAATGACCTATCCTTCCAAAGAACGAGGCCACCATTTTTTTTCCCGCACTTCGATCTCTCTCACTTTAGTTGGCAACTCCTCGAAAGGAAACACCCACTGAGCAGATTGTCTTTTGGTTTTAGGATCATAACAGTAAATCCAGCTTTCGTCACCTGTTAGTATGTCGAACACAGCATTTGAGTCACCTCCGTTAAATCTTTCAATCATTTTACGACACCAATCCACACGATGGAGTTTTTGAGCCTCAGTCAAATTATGAGGTATCCACCGGGCGCAAAGCTTCCTGACCGCTAAATGTTCGTGGAGGATTTTGTGCACTTGACTCATACCGATGCCTAAGCTTGTCCGAATCTGTTGATAGGTCACTCTTTTGTCAGTCTCTATCATACGCCGCACAACACAGATGTTATCTTCAGTCGTCGCCGTAGAAGGCCGTCCCTCACGTAAATCATCAGTGAGATTAGTGCGACCACGTTTAAACTCATTAAACCAGTTGTAAACAGTCGCACGAGATGGGGCTTCATCGTGAAAGGCCAATCGTAGTCTATCATAACTTTCTTGTTGACTTAAATGACATCGAAAGTCATAAAAAATCATTGCACGAAAATTTTCTCGTGTTAAATTCATGATGACGTGACACAGACAATTTTCAATTTGCCGCCAAATCGTAAAACAAATGACAAATGAATGAAATATATACTCAGTAATATTGGCAAAGAGTTATATTTTCAAATTTTAGAATTATTTTTTTATTATATTGTTTATAAGTGGCCAGTTCTAAGAACTTTCAGTTTGACCCTCGTATAAGGAAAACTCGAGCAGGTGCTTTCTCGGCTCGATTTGTGTAATCCAAGGTATTACTTATGCCTTAATTATATGCATCAATTGACTTTATTTATTTGTGTTAAATACAAATTAAACTATTACAGCATCTTTATTCGTATAAACCTGTACTTCTTATCTTACCCACTGCGTGGCCGTTTGTTACTCCTGAGCACTACGCATCGTTTCGTCAAATAAAAAATCCACTTTCTAGGTGATAATACTTAATCATCATATTACTTATGAGTAGTGTACTATACAATACAGTCTGAAATAGTCAATGCACAACGTGTAAAGAGTGCTATCGCATAATGTTCCAGGTAAGTACGAGACGTTGTTGGAGGACTCTGTGTTGTCGCTGCACAGCATCAACGCGTCCCACGTCCAGTTCCCGCGGCTGGCGCACACCTCCGGCACCTCGGACAAGCTGCACAGGTACTACTCGCGTCTAGAGCTGCCCCTCGTCAGGAAACTGTACAAGCTGTACAAACGTGACTACGCGCTCTTCCACTACGACCTCGACAACATTGTAGGCTTCGATCTCGGGTAGAATCCCCGCCCGCTGACATAGGTACTTATTACTAGAAGATAGCCTTTCGGCAATGTAAGCGAGTCCTCGATAGAGTTAACAAACCAACTGACTTGCTTATTTTTATATATGATTGAAATCATACAGAGCAATGTAAGATTCATTAAGGTTGTTAAATATCGTTATTTTATTATATAAGCATCTTGTCTCGATATTTTTTTACAGAGTTATACTGAGATATAAATCCCATCTGTTGTGAATTAAAAATGCAATTATCATAAGCACGAAAGCGTAATATGTGATTTCACTTTGAAAATGTAGAAAGAAACTAGTACAACGCGAATTTTATGTGCCAGTTATACTTTTTAAGTGGTTATAGTATGTTGTATAAAACCTAATAAGTGTGTTACTAACTCAGCATAACGGAGAAAATAATTAATGATATAGGTACCGAATAAACATAAAGGTTTAGTTATATATGTATTTAAATATCATTCCTCTTTAACAAAAAGACTGCGTTATATTAGAGCGAAAAACAGTATGATATACAACAAGTGAGCTGAATTACGTGACCATGACAGGCCTGCGGCCCCGGCGGGTACTGTTTAATGATTGCTTAAAAAAATTGCCGAGTTCGTTGCTATCGTAATAAAACAAGTTTGAAGTTTTTTGCGATCTGCCATCATTATTACGCGGACACACCTTTTGTCATGAGTATCTATTTGTATTATATCTTTTACACAATGATCCATCCATCGAATGTACGAGTTCTAATGCCAAATATACTGTAATGTATTAAAATAAAAATATATCTACTACAAATATATCATGTTATAGTAATGAGGATTACACTTAATTAATCTTTTTGTTGTCTTCCCCGCGATCATGGTCATGTTAAAAGTAGGTATCATAATTATAAATGAACTTACATACTCGTTTAACTGATTAGATTACTAGTTACTAACACAAACAATGTATCCAAAGCTCTCTGTGATAGTGTTAACAGGAGACATTAAACTGCCTGACGCTATTTAATGGACCTATTTCGATGAATTGACGTCGCTCATTATTTTTACTGACTGGCAACTTATTGCCCATTTTAAATTTGATAAAAAAAACGTGCAAATCTTTGGATATGGCAATATCCATCCGTGGTTCACACACAATACATAAAGATAAATACAGATTTGTGATAGAATAATAATGTACACATTAAATAAATTGGCGACTTCGATCGGTCTGCCGGTTATGACCTTTATGACATTTTGAAATCTACCTCTAAATTATCATTATTTTTTTTTGTAATAATAATTTAACTTGACGCAGAAGCTAACAGAGGTACGAAAATCTCCCATTTTAAGGTAGTTAATTGTACGTATCATCAAGCTTTCATTGCTATTTGTGTGGACCACGTGTCCTGTTAAGGTGGATATATTAAAGAATTTGATTACTTTGCACGAACAACCACACGAAAAACTGTTGTAGGTGTGTGTAGTTCAGAATATAAAAAATAAGTAGGTTGTTAGTTCAGCTAATTTACATGATTAAAATTCATTAAAAATTTACGATTATGCGTTATAAAAAATATATGACGTAATCAATATGATTTCCTTTCATTAACGAGGTGAGGTGTTTTTTTTTTCGAAGTAAGTTAATATAAAACTCCATGTAAAGTACATTAAGATTACCGGTGCTACAAATTTAACATGATAATTAAGTGAGTGAGGTATTAAGTAATTTGTTAATTGTTAGTAATAAATAAATAAAGGTTGTGTGGAAGTTTTATTAATACTCGAATTTGTTTTGAATATATAATTAGCATGCTATAGAATTAAGTTAGTTAATAAAGTGTAGTTAAATCTTATTACAATGTTAAATGGGTATAGTATATTTTTTAATACTATCCTAAGCCACGTTGGTATATGGATAAAATATACTTTTTTTTATCTGTTAATCTATGTAATTTAGTAATAAATCTAAGTTACCTCTGTAAGTGAAGTGTGAACCCTAGAAATGTACTCGTAAATACATTTTAACAATAACAATACTTTCTATAGAAACTAATAATTTATTATTATTATGTTGTAGTCATATTTACGTTGGTAAAGATTACTTGTTTATTTTATGTATACAAAAGACACAAATATTTAGAAATATTGACAGACACCGTATTCACCAATAGAATAGTAATGAGATTGAATATTAACTTGTACATAAATATACAGGCAGATAGATATTACATATTAAATGTAATCATCATATTTATAATCTAATTTTATATATTAAAACATTGTTTTCAGAATTGTTTCAAGGTAATGACTTTTAAATTGTGTACATAAGAACAAAATATTTCATATGTTTATAATTTGTCGTGTGTATCCCTAGTTTAGCTAGAAAACAACATCTTTTTTTTTTCAAAGTAAAAAATCTACTACAATAGCAGTTTCTTGAATAAGTAATCATTATTTTTCTTTTTATAACAAAACGAAATACGCGTTTTATCAGATTAGGTACATACCTAAATATTGAGATGATATGTTTATTTCAGGTAAAAAAAACAAAAGATTGCGTATTTGGTATTCGTTCAGAATCTGAAAGGAGGATTTTCTATGTTCGATAATATTCTTGTGTATGTATATATACATACTCATTGTATGTATACACATACACAAGAATATTATCCTCATTAAGTACAATTACTATATACTTTTTAGTATACTACTCGTATTTAATTTTGTTATGTAGGTGGTTGGTGTCGCTTACGTGTGGCGTATTCCTAGCGTATGTAATAAACAATATCTATCCCAGACAATAAATATTTTAACGTACTAAGCAAGTTTTTTATGCACCAACGCATCTATGACCCTAGTAAATTTCGTTGACATTATTTATTTTAAACGTCATTTAAACAGGTTTTCTTGACTGATTTATAATTTTTTAATGATCACTTGATAGCGATTTAATAAAACTAAGATTTTTTGCCATATGAATTGTAAAAAACTTAAATTATTGAGAATTCGAGTATCAGTAGAGATTTTGTACTTATCTCAATTCAGAAACCGGCCGTTAGACTCGCATTTCGCTTATATTCGGATGGCTGTGACCAAAATATTTTCAAGTTCTGGGTCCACCCTTGTTTAACTAAAATATCTTTGCGAGCAGAGATTACAACTGTAAATTACATTTTTGCTGTTGAACCTACTCGATAGTCAATTCATAATTTTTTTAAGTTGCGTTATGGTGCATTGTAATAATATAATGTCTGATATGAACTATATACGTATAGCGCTGTCGAACCTTATAATTACGATTCAAAGTACTTCTTTTGATGTCAAAACAGTGTTTGTGATGTTAACTATCTTTTTATTATTAATAAGCTCGCTCCTATGTTTTCTAAATATCCACACCTTGTACGGAGAATGTAAACTCATACTAATATGGTGTTAACATTCAGTAATATGGACGACGACTACTTTTTGTTTGTTTGTCCTTCAGGTAGATTATTGAAGAATATTTAATAAGTATTTTTTTTGCGTTATCAATAAATTACGTTGAGAATACATTGAGTTAAAATATCGTATAACGTGCTGCTTTTGTACATTTTCTACAAAACTGTGACGTAACGAACCCCCACTCTCAAACTTTAATGTCTATTATGTAAGCCAGTTCTTGTCTAATTTAAAGAAAAAATAGGCACCCAACTTTTTTATGTTATCTATATGACGAACGAAATAAATTTCTTTACTTTTTATGATTATTATTGCGTATCCCATAATAATTCATAAAACAAAACTTCGTGTTCTTCTTGTAAATATATATATATTTTTACATTGGAGATTTTATTTTATTTTCCTCTAAATTTCATTGATAGAAATTACGTCATACTCGAAAAAGTTTTATGCTATATCGTTTTGGAAGAAATTTGCTATAAACTATTACTTATTATTTAAATAAATAATAAAAATTGCAGTATTCAAAGAAAATATAACCACAAACTTCATATTTTACAGAAATTCTTTGGTTACGTAAAACTATAATAATTCTTAAATAGTAGAAATGATCCATTATAGCAGTGACTCTTCGCTGGATTTGCTATAAACACAGCAGCATATGTCGTGCATTGAGATCCATCTCTTATTTCGTTAACAGTTAAGTAACCGTCCGACAGTCGCGCTAGTTATCGAGCTCTCCATTAGTACAAGCAGACTACATACATATTTTTATTTGGCACCTGTTCATTTATTAAATTCATTTTGCAAGTACTCGTGGACATCGTAACTGCTGAGTATGTTTTAATTATCCTACAGAAAAATACTTTAAAATATCACAAATTCCAGATGCCAACGTTATTGGCTTACCTATGTATATTGTAAGTATATTGTATTGTGTGTAGGCATGTTTAGAATGCCATCTCGGACATCTGGGATTCATGAATTTATTAAGCATTTTTTAAGTTAAATTGGTATCAATATAGCACTGAATGCAATCGATCAAATATAATGTTCATTATTGCTGAATACATTTCTAAATTACGATCGATTATAGGGTGAGGTTGGGGCTTGTTGATGTGTTGATCATGTGGGTAGTGGGATGTTGTCACGTGTCATCCGGGCGCAGGTAGTTGTGACCGATGACGTCACTCGGCAGCTTGCACTCCTTCCACGGAGACGCGCTTATTGTGAACGGACCCTCGCCCGATAGACTCACTGTGCAACCAAATATTACAATATTTATGTATCGAGTCTTAAAAACGGTGATTACTTAATGTGATTCCAATACGAATCGTACGATCGTACACGAACTAGCTATATCTTTCAAATTAGGCAAAAGCTTCGCATGTTAAAATTATTCTGTAAAGTTTATTCTTTGTATTATCAAGAAAAGAAAAAGAAAAAGTTCGTGCTCGCTAGGATGTAGTACAGGGAACAAATTATATCCTATTACTTAAGTTCATATTTTTTACCGATTACCGATTATATTTTCACAACAATCATGGTTTAATTTTCAATCAGTAACTACAGTCATATTGATTTTATAAGATCTCACTATATACTTTATCATATACGAAAAAAAAGAATTTATATCAAGTATTATGTATAGTGGGAGAAAGAAAAGGTTAGTTATCGTAAAGTCGAATTTTGTTTGCGCAGCTCAATAATTGGTATCAACATATTAAAAAAATAGTATGTAATGATTTGCCCTGTGATGACAATGCTAATTTTATTTAATTTCGATATAATGCCAATAAAATAAGCCTTTACATCAACGAATCAAGCATAGTTTTCTATGCAGCATAATATTTTGGAACTCGCTTTCATAAGTGCTCGTAACTTCCAACGAATCGGTTTGAAATTTGACGAATCTTATACCATGATTACTTTGTGAGATACGTCACATTGCAATGGAACTTATGCTTATAGTGGGGTATCATTTGAATGATAGTGTTGTTGTCGTCGTCAGTACCACTCACCTGTCATATTCGGCACGAGGGTGACGTTGTACTGACCGTCGAACAGCGTCAAAGGCACGTCGCCATTCACGGAGTTCACTCGGAGCGTCGTGCTCTTCTCTTTTATTTCCAATGTCAGATTGGCTCCAAGGTACTTTATACCTGCACCGAATTGCAACGATTCGTAAAAATTAAAAATTTGTTACGAAAAGACATGATAGCTAAAGAATAAACGTATTGGTATGTCATATCACTCAAATGCATCAGGGTCGCAATGCATGTCCTAACTTTAAGCGTTATATCAGCAATAAGTGTTGCAAAATCCTCTTTTATGTATTTATAAAACTACCATGGTTATAGTGATGTTTGCTTTTGTGTTGTCCTTTTTAAAGCAGAGAAGGAACAACCTCAAGGAAGAACCGGTTAATCCTAACTACCGCTCAGTTTCTCGGGTCTCGTGTCTCGCTACGGGATGTGAGCAAAATTTCAGTGCATAACGGAAAAACTAAGCATTCCAAAGTAGTTTGGTCTTGTCCTTGTCATTTTTGAAATGCATTTTCACCTTAGTCTAAAACCCAAATATTTAGACGTCAGGTTTGAGCGACTCCTAAGTTTAGTGAAAACGAGCGTTAAAGGCCGAACAGACTCGCGCCAAAAAGACCCGAGAAACCCGAGACTCGTGAACGTGATACGTTTCTTCGTTCCTTTATATTTCTTCTCGCCAGGAAGAAATATAATGAAACGAGAAGGTGAGAAACGCGAGTCTGTCCGGCCTATTTTGGGGCATCATCGTTTAGAAGTTTTATCACACGAGAGATCGTAGTCTACGTGCCCGATACGTCGAAAGCTCAATCCCTCAAAGTATATGAAGACGGTCCACCGGGTCCGACCCTATTCGACGAGCGACAGGAGGTCATATATAGCAAATCGTGTTCGCATGAACCTCTGAGCGTGAGCGCGGTGGCGGCGGGCGGCAGGCGCGCGCGCGCGAGTTGCAGGCCGCGGAGGCGCAGGGCCGCGCCCGCGTACCCCGCGCCCAGCGCCTGCAGCGCGCCCGCCGCGCCCGTCAGGAAGTTCACCGCGCCCACATCCGCGCCGCTGCCCTCGCTCCACACCTGCACGGAGGACAGATTACAAGATGGGATCGGAATAATGTTTAACGGGGGCCCGCTCCGTCGCCTCGAGAAATATTACGAAATCTATATACGAGGCGAACGTACAGAGAGTGAAGGTGTATATGGGGAGAGATCGGATCTCGGGCTCCCCCGCCAGAAGAGTCGCGTATACTCTAGGAGTGATTCGATTTAGGTTTCGATCGGTCTTTAATATTCCCATTCGATTCGATTCCGTCTCCAGGGGAACCTCGCACCCCAGCGGAACATCGACGGGCCGACGACGAGGGCTCTAATCGTACGTTAGCCTAGATCGAACGTGTACAAGCCAGGAATGAAGTTTGAACGGCTCGAACCTTGAACGGCTCCCTGACGTAGTCTCGGTAGCTCCTGTGGAACAGTTCGGCGGCCCGATGCTCGTCGCCCAGCCGCAGGTGCGCGACGGCGTGCATGCTCCACGTCATGGCCGGGCCGGTGGGCCGCGTCACCGACTCGTAGTACGACAGGTCGTTGGACATCGTGCTCCTGAAGCGAATCAACAAACGGTCAACGACCTCGAACACGATAGCCGCCGTGAAATATGAGATCGGGCGTCATAGATGTTAAAGATCGAGTTCTATTAATATTTGATTAGTAAGATATAGGCCTTTCGTTATTTTTCAATATCCAGGACCAGTTTATTCGCCATCACCAGTGAGACTTCGTCTTCGTCGCCGAGTCTGGGCTATGCGCTGACCTGTTCATGGGATAGAGCAGTGGGTAGGCGAGCAACACGGCGTCGGCCTGCTTGATGACGTCACCGCGCCGGTACCCGTCGTACTGCGGATGGTAGTCCAGCGCCGCGTCGTACGGCAGCGCCAGGCTCCACGCCACGTCCGCCCACCGCGGGCCCCCCTCCCCCTCCCCCTCCCCCGCACCCGACCGCGCGCGGTAGTACGCCGCGCACAGGCAGGACACGTATCTAGAACATATACGTCCTTCAATATCACTCTCATCGGCCGATAAAACTCCAAAAGCGTGGTAATTTTAAATGAAAATCAAAAGCCAATAGTGCAGTCGTAGGTACCGCTTACAAAATTTCCTACCTCGAGCTCCTCCGAGCTTCGAAAGGGACTCTGAGCCGTCGGTCTCAGCAATACCTGCAGCCGTTAATGTATGCCGTCCACGTATGCCGTCCACGTATGTTCTATACCTACGTTGTTATCTTCAACACCCTGCGCGGGGAACCCGAATGCGGACGCTACAGTATGCATTTATAGAATTGCCAACGCACGCCGCACGAGCCTTGGGTCCCGCACCGATACAAATACGCAAAGGCGGTTTGTATAAAATGCTTTCTGATGTTTCTATTGCCACCGATCCTATAGTTTTCAAAGTGCGCGAGGCAGGCATTTGAACTTCTAAACCTTGGAAAAGTTATCAATAAATTCGCTTTATGTACTCACTCGGCCAAATATAAGGAGTAGCCGGCGACCACGTTGGTGAAGATAGAGTTGGTGACGTTGCCGTGATCTTCGTCCGGACCCATCACATCTGTAGATTCACAATTAGGTACGATACATTCGCCTGTTGTGTCTCGTGCGTGTTATTTATTTCAAAATGATATGGTATGCTCTTGTCTTACTCGATATATCGTACAGTCCAGTGGTATAGTTGATGGTGGCGCGCGACGCCCAAAAATCGGCAATGTTCGTGACGATAGAGCAGCCACCGTGCTGAAAAATACATTTTTAAACCTGCTTTTTTAGGTCCAATTAACATAGTTTGAAGTGTTGGTAAGTACTTCTATGTTTTAGTTGAACTTTCGATAAGAGTTGTTCTACATATTTCTTATTAACCCCGAGATTATTATATGGTTAACATACCTTAAGAAAATCTTCATCTCTGGTGGCGGCGAGGTATTGCCTAATGGCGAAGGAGATGCAGCCTGTGATGTGTTGCTCGTATTCGGCCACCTCCCTACTCGGCGTCACCTCTATGCCCGTGAACGCGCTCTCCCACGGGTACCTGCGCGGAGGCATACAAGCGAGTTTTCATTGGTATACTTGTGGCGACTGATACATAGCGACATCTAATTCATCGCAGTAACATCGCCACAACAATCGATAGCGAGAAGACTAGCATCGTCACAGCCATCGATAGCAAGACGAACTGCAATAAGTTTCAACAGCAAGTAACGAGATGGCGCTGTACCAATACAAACAGCATAAATTAATAACTACAAGACATTTAGAACAAAGAAACCTACATCACACAGAATAAGTTTAATTACCAATTAACATAAATAGAACGTCCAACCTACATCGGTTGGACCGCGGTCCCCGGGCTAACAACACCTAGCTCGGAGGGAGACAATTATCCTTTAGTCTCCCTGGCCAGTTGTCTCCATCATCAAGTAGGAACCACACCTTCAATCCTACGGTTCCTAAATACTCATTGAAAACGTAATGTAAAAATTCCTAAGATCTGCGCTGGACGCTGTATACTGCCTCTTAACTTGAGAAATTATTATCGTGTCAAAAACACATCTAAAATATAGGCAGCATTTTAAATCTTGATATTCTTAATGTTTTCTTACCTGTATCCTCTATAACCCGAGTTCCTCGCATTCTGGGCAGCGACGTACGCTTTATCTAAACGATACTGTAGTAGCTGCCGGGCGTATTTTGGGTACAGCAACAGAATCGGTGGGAACATCCACATCTCTGTATCCCAAAAACTGTGGCCTGTGAACGATTTATTATAATATTAAAGAACTAGCTGTTCCCGCGAATTTTGTCTGCGTGGGAAAGTATATTAGTACCTAGAATTCTTTATTTCTGTGATTGAATCGAATCGAATAAGATCAATTAACCATAACCCACTAAGCAGGTTATAATGTTTTCATCACCCATTCTATGAATGGTCCTTACTAAAGTTATTTTACTATATTTTTTCTCGCTTCTTGCGCTTTGGTTGTCGCTTGTGTCTGAGTATTTTCTCCTCCTCCGCCCCTCTCTCGAGCTATACTCCTCGAACAATTCCGGACGCCCATCTGAGGCCCTTATAAGCGATATAATAGAACATTCTCGCTGCTCCGGTCTCGACGTGGCCCTTTCCTCGACACGATTATAAAGCGTCGGAGACCCACCAAAACCTCTACGGTACACCCTCTCTTAGGAGATGTCCAATGTAATGGTCCAATTACTTGAGTGTATTGGCAAAGTTACCAATACACTCAAGTAATTGGACCATTGGACCAAGATGGAGAAATAGCTCAGGAACATTGAGAGCCTATCCCAGACAGGTGAGATCGTGCAATGCGAGGGTGGATACAATGCAAAACTGCTATTTTCATCAATGAGCGTTTACAGTTCAAGAAGTTGTAAACCTAGCAGTTTCTATGCAAACGGTCACAGGGATATTTGCATTTTAAAGTTTATACTTAACAAAGAAAGATGTCGCTAAAAGTAAAAAATACCTCTTTTTTGGTTAGTGACATTGCCATTCTCAACGTGAGATATATGCGTTCACTATATACCACTTAAATCTTAATTGAAACAGCGATGCGCTGTTTTCGCTTGATCTCTTACGAACCCTATTTAATTAACTTAATAAACTTAACTTTGGAAACTTTTTTTCATCGTGCAAATTATCATTTTGCAGACATTATTAATACATAACTCGGTAGCGCAACGGATAAACGCCGTTGCCCGCAATCTTTAGTACTAAGCAATTTTCTCAAGAGTTGATAACGAGATGGGTGACCAAAAATTATTAAATTAAGGCCTGAGCCCTGCAGTGGGCATGTAAAAGAGCTGTTGTAAAAAGAGCGTTGGTAATATAGCTTAATTACCATTGTAGTCTACGTCGCCTCCTCTCGCTAGACTACCTGGACTTAGCCCGTAAAATTTGTTTAGAGGTTGATACGATTCTTCCGAGGGCAACGAGCTCAGCAAGTAGTACCAGATAGCGTTCGTCACCTTAGACTGTAAAATAAGATAAAAGTAACTATATCTGCCCATTATTGCGAAGGAAAAGAGAATACACACAGGTAATGATTAGGTACTGACGAGCTGCAGATCTCCTTCTATATCGATTCCGGCGCTGTAATACAGTCGATGCCAAGGCTCCACGTGTTTCCTGAATAACTCTTCGCCGTCCTCCTGCAAAACTGTCGAAGACATTCTTAATTCAGCCAGATATTTGAAATACGAATTAGTTGTTTTTCTTTAACATATTCTGAAAAACTTGGCGTAAGCAACGAAGTTGGCTTTTGTTTCCGTTGTATATACGACCGACCTTGCAGCAGCTCGCGCCTGGCCACCGTCCTGTCGGTATCGAGGGTCATCGCGAAGGTGACGACGCGCGCGCCGTGCTGCGGCACCACCAGGTGGTCGGGCACGCCGGTCCAGCACGCGCACGCCGCGCTCGGCTCCGGCTGCAGCGCCGCCGCCTCCACCTCCACGGTCCGCCCGCACGCGCTCCACACCGTGCGCCCGTCCACTATCTCCGGCACCGGGCTCTCGAACGCTACGTCCTCGCTCTCCGCTCCCGGCAACAGCTTCACTGCTATCCAAATCTCGTGGTGAATGAAATTTGGATCTGAAAAAGACCGCATGATTTCAAAGCGTGTTAGTTGCTAGCACAACTTTAGTTATCAGTTAGTGGTGATAACAGGTAGGTAAACTAGGTTCCGCGATCGTACCTGCGTGCGGCTTTGCGACGACTTGAATCTGGTTCACGATAGTCCTCGTGTAGAATTTGTGGGCGTAAATCCTCTGAGTGACTATCGATCTGTCCCTGTCTACTCTCACTTTGAACACGGCGTCTCTCGTGTCCAAGCTGTACACGGGCTTGAACGGATGATGCGTCAGAGTGGAGTTGAGGCGGACGTTGGCGTAGGCGGGTATGCGGGCGCGGTGACTTCGGCCGCCGCGTCCGTTGTACAAGCCGTTCATGTACACGGTGTCGCTGAACACGTTCGTGGCTACGTGCCCGTTGCCTACCGATGGCATGAATCTATCATCTTCTGGTAATCTGGAAATTAAAAAATGATCATTTTTGAACATTTTTTTACTGTAACGGTGTGCCGTACCACCGTTTATTTCATCCTAGGTATCAGCATGCAAACTTTTTTCTTGTCTTTGATGTCCAACATCATTTGTTTTTATTATTCACTTTTCGTAATTTGAAATTTTGACTAAATCAATATGCTCTTTATGAATGTCAGTTCGTAAAAAAATCATCTGTGTGAACATGATAATGTAATCATATAAATTTAAATATAAAATTAATAATAATTAAATAAGAAAATTGTTATTCTAAAAGTACATATTCATAAAATATCGTCCAAGTTTATTTATTACAGAAACCCAGAAACGGGGTATATATTTGGTCTATTTAATAACTGTAATTATATATTTAGGTAATCATACCAGCCGTTTTATATTCATTTTTTTGTTACAGTTTTCCTATACCCTTTTCTTTATTACCCTATAATAAAATGAAGTTCTCAAGCTTAGTCAGCCTTTCATTCATTCGCCCAAGCATCAAAACCGTCACATTACTTACCTAGTCTCGGAAACTTATGGCCTGTCTTTGATTGCTATGATGGTTTTATAAATTTAACAGATGGAACTAAACTGACTCACGGTGTGAACAAAATCCATTAATCGATCAAATCCAGTGTAAGCAACGCGTATTGGTATAAAATAACAATATTAAATATCTATGTCATTGCTGTAGATTATACTGCAGGCGCTTTATAACGCCGCGCTTTGATGACCACGTCCATATTAAATTACATTTGCAATCGAGCTCGGTGCAATTACGGCCATGAAGTCCCGGGTGGCGCTTTTTATTACGGTACCACGAAATTAACGGAACCGGGAGCCGATTAAACTTCAATCGAGATATAAACCGAATTGGGGCCAATATACTGCAACGGCATCCAATGAGATTTCGCTGGTAGCCACAGCTCTACTTTGCTACTTAGTGCCCTACTTTACTACCGCACGTTTAATTTATTTTAATATTTAAATTTTAATTCTATTACATACATTTAATAAAATTGTATATATATAAACACATGGGGCTATGCAAAACTGTCATATTCCTCCACTATATTATAAACCTTGTAACCCCCATTGTAGGTAGAGTTCAAAATCAAATGAGGAAATTAACATACCTATTGTGGTAGTCGGACGTGTAGCCGTATATCAGGTCAGTTGTATTATCTGACTCTGAAACAACATACTAATGTACCCCAACATAAGCATTATAAGCTTACTATGTTTATTACTTGCCTACATTGCACTTATGATAGATAAAATGTGTTTCTCTTCCCGCGAAAACGCAAACTTCTGTCTGGCGTCGTCGCTATGACTTCATGCCCCTCTTCAACTAATATCGTTCTATGTGTGCAAAAGGTTTCTCTTAGTTCTGTTCTGATATGAGTATAAAGGTGGTGACGTCACGCTCTGTTTGCGGTCACGTGACAACGAATGCAAAATATTTGCTTTTTCATAATTAATTTGAGCAATATTATAATTATAATAAGCATAAAAGTATGATTATCGGTAATAGTACTTTAAACACTACCAGAAAAACACACTTAACAAGTACCTAACTATAGGTATAGGAGACTATTATACCTACTTACTATTTATTTGGATTATTTCAATTATAGTAACATAATATCTGAGAATATATTTAATTCAACTTATTTTATTTTTCGTAAGTCAGCTTTAATTAAAGACTATATCGTACGTACACAAAACTGACTGCCCTTAGCCAGTTGTGTGTCTACAGGACACAGAAAAAATGTTTATACATTATACAGGACAGCTATATAGTTATAATTACAAAGGCATATAGGTTTCGCCAAAAGCAGTTATGAACTATATTTACTGTTTCATTTTATCCTAGTAAAATAACAAATTTAGCAGCATTTACTCGCCAGAGCGTACCCCAGAAAACGAGAATCTCAGCGTGAGTGTTTATTTATGAGTTACTTACGTGTATGTAGAAAAAATATGTGGATCATCGCTGATGTCTTCAGGCGCAGCCGGTGGAGGCTGCTCAGTTGTGTGCGAGGAGGTCCTCGTGGCGAGCACGATCGCTACCACCGCGGCCACGCTCAGCACACCCAGCATGGCGGCCACGTGCTTATTCCGCACCAAGAACTGCCACATGTACGAAAACACTCAACAAACTTATAAACAACAAAGTGATAATGCGTAAGTGTCAATTGGCGTCTCGATAAGCGGCCCGTCGACGACCGGTCATGCGAGTTATTATCGTGTCAGACTCTAAACGTGTAGCACTCGCAGCGTCACCGTCCAGATTACACGTCCCGCTAGGATGTGCTGATACACATTATTGTTCTACTGACAATGATATAGTTTTAGGGCTACCTCATCACAGGGAAGCCCTCGTTCGGTAACCTACAATAGTTTATTTTATTTATTATGTTAAATGAAATTATCATAAATTAAACTTGAACTGTCGATTAATTTTCCTATTTTAAAAATAAATAATCTGAATTTACATACGGTTTTCTTAAAACGTGTTTAGGTCCAGGCAGCCCTAGACATAGTTACGGTCGTCTTCCCTAATTCAATTGTCGCTTCCTAATTAAATGAGTCGAGTGTTAGCTAGAGTATGTTTAGTATGCGCTTCAGGACAACACCAGGATCTTAAGATCGAGTGAATTAATTTTCCGGAGCCGGTACGGTTCATCGGCCGGTCACGTGGGCCGCCAGATCATGGGCTATAATTCGTGTTTTGAATAGAGCAAAGTGCGCGGGCGCATCAGACCGTGCGCTCTCTAGTTCCGCTCTGTTACTTCCAGTGACGCTTCTACCTTCGACGTTTGGAAACCGATTTTAATTGCTAAACATGTCTATTGGTGTTGCTTGACAAATATTTATTTGTGGACACGGTCCACCAGCACAGTGTTCCTGGTTGTTGCAATAATTCAATAAAAAAATATATTCGACAACATCACATACATTGCTCAAGATTCCAAGATGAGTAGCCAATACCCCCGTATCTGAAACAAGGAAGGCACCACAACATCTAGACCCAAGACAATATAGAAAAGTTCAATTTCTACATTGACCCGACCGGGAATCAAACCCGGGAGAAGGACGTGTCGCCTACCTTGAAACTGGCGTGCGAACCACGGCTACGTAGGTCGTTACGGAGATTAATAGTGTCATTATATAAAAATCTTTACACTTACAAATATCTTTCTTTGAAACCCTGTCTACCTGAACCCATGCTTGAAGTCTGAACACTAGTAGAAGGAGTCGTTAATTGTTGAGTTTTCTATTGAACTGGTATTCATATCGTGAGCCAATCGTTGAATTGAGCCGATCGAGGTCTGCCCGGGCATATAACGATATGCCAATTCGATTTGCCCAACTAATCACTTAGGCAACAACATCGTGATATTGCCTGGCGCATCCTAGTTTAGTTCCGTTTAGCGTCACTGGTGGCGCTGTAGCTCTATCCATTGCATATTTACATGCGAGAAAGATGGCGACGACGTCACAAGCAAACAATAACTCGCACGTTGAGAATGACAATGTCACTAACCAAAAACGACGTATTTTTTACTTTTGGCAACATTATTCTTTGTTAAGTATAAACTTTCAAATGCAAAGATCCCTGTGAACATAGCTTGCATAGAAACTGCTACGTGGCGTAGTGACAATACGTTGTTTAGAGGGGCCGATTACAATTTCTTGAACTTTAAACGCTCATTACTCAAAATCGCATTGTTTGCATTATGTCACTATCGTTCTCAACGTGCGAACTGTAATATTAAAAATAATGACAGTGAGCTACCTGCTGCCGAAGGTGTTTTCCGAGTGAATTATGAGCGTCAGCTACAGGAGTTTTTATTATGAAACACTGAACACTTTTAAATGAACATAGTAGAAAACAATTATAACAGCTTTTTTATTTACCAGTCAAATAATTATTATTTAAACTTCATTTTATTCGCATACCTACAGAAATGGGCAGTCACACTTAAGATGGCTTTACGAGTAATAGTTGACCAATTAGGAAGTATTAAAAAAACGAAAGCACTAAAAAAGCACCTCCACTAGATGGCGACTCTAGCAAAAGTTGATTTCTACAGGAAACGAATGGATCAAAGACAGTCATTTCTGTTCCTTTTAACTAACATGTTAAAAAACTGAAATTTGAAAAGTTCGAAACTTAGATATCAATACAAATACGAAAAAGTACAAATAGAAAAGGAGTTGTTTATTGAGTTTTGAAAACTAATTTACTGTTAAACTTGAAAGAAAACCGGAAGGGTTGTCATGGAGAAATCAAGAACGTACCGTAGCGACATCTAGTTTGATTTCGGGAACAATTTTTTTTTTCAAATACTTCCTCAATGTATTAACTCTAAGATTTCGAACAGCTCCATAGAAAACAATAAACGTGATTTTTTTCCCTTTTTTATTAATTATGGTACGGAACTCAACGTGCGCGAGGTGGACTCGCACTTGCCCGGTTTTTTGTAATTGATGCTGCTTTTAACTATTCAGTTAATATCTCTAGCAGTTAACTGAAACAAACGATTTCCATCGGTACCTACGTCACACCAATTAAACACGAGTTATGCATTATATATATCATATAAAACTACGTTCCTCCGGTTCCAAGTTTATGAATAAAATCAAATTTTTCATTCAGTAATTGGCTACTTCTAATTTCTTACTGCACTACTATAAAATTTAATTGAATTATTGTGCCCTATTCATGTCCAGTTGCTCGTGAGAACATATCTTTAAGTAGTTTTCTATCTTTTCCATAGAAATAGCGTACAAATCTTAAATATTATATAAATATTTAATCCAAAATATTTTCACAATCAAGTAAGTGTAAATTCAAATATCTCATTATCGGCAAATGATTGTGCCGACTTCAAAATGAAGAGGTTCTTATCCAACTGAATACATGTTATAAAAGTGTTATTATTATTAGTTACTTGTTCAGGAGTTGTGCCTATTACATATAGCATGGCAGTCTTCGCGTTCCTAGCTTCCAGTTTTTTTATTTTCTGGACTGATTATGTATGTTTCGACCCAGATAAATGTATCGTTTTTGGATCGGTAGTACACATTCACACGTTTTACGCCACTTAATTTCATAAAATTGGCAGAAATTATTGAATTATTAACACTACCGTTGGTTAGATATTGGGTGATGTAATAAGGTTTTAGTAAACGGTCACTCACTTTAACATCATATGTAATTAAAAAAGTTCTTTACTACTCGCTCCCTTAAAAAGAGAATGAAGCAGTTATACTTCTGGTTTCTATGCCTCTAGGCACGTTTGCCTGTCATCTATCGGTAGGTAATATTGTGTACTAGCTTTTGTCCGCCACTTCGTCCTCGTGGTATAAACACTTTCCAAAGACCCAAAAACATATATTTTTAATTAAATCGTGTAAAGTACCTAAATATAAAGTTTCTTTTTTTTATATTAGACAAGACTAACTCCCATACAAACTATAATATTTAAATAAACTTTAATAATATGATTTAACCCTTTTATCACAATAAAAAGTAACTAATGTTAGGACATTGTTACGCTCTCACACCTAAACCACTAAGACGAGTTGACTTAAGATAGGTCTTAAGTCAACTCGTCTTAGTGGTTTAGGTGTGAGAGCGTAACAGACATATACACAGATCTACTTTTGCATGCATTATAATATTAGTATAGAATATTTATAAGCGATTACCCTTGTTGCTCGTTACATCATATAATCAGAAATAACCAGACACATAACCAAATAAATAGACTAAGAACAATAATAAATAATATTTGCGTGGTAGAGTTTTAAAGTCATAGAAGGGTTTTTTCGAGTTTACTTTGTGTAAACTCGAAAAAAGCCTTCTTAATTTAAAGTTTTTTTTTTTTAAAACTCGATTATATATATTTTTATTTATTAATAGCAAAATTCCGCGATATTATTATAATTACCCCGATGTTCAACTTCAAAGACATTACAACAAAAAGCTATATTTAGATATATATTTAAGATACACCAACAACTACACATTTAATAACATTTTTAACATGGGTATAATTGTACAGGGCTTACATGATAGCCATTAATTATATTATAAAAATGCCTACTTCAAAAAAATTCGACTGTTTCAGGTACATTCTGGCCTACTTTGGTCATATTCTTTCTTTCGTCATAATATTTAGTACATTATTTTGTTATAAGAATAATTATACCTTTTATTTATGACCATGAATAGTCAAAGCTCAAAACTTCCTAGGTACTAAAAATAAAAAAATATTTTTTTTTCTTAAAAATCTCTCTTCGTTTACTTACGGAACTTCGCTTTAACCGATTTTGGTACTTTTTACTGTATTCAAACCGGTCGTCAACCCGAGAAATTCGATCTTCTTTGTAATTGCAACCGAGTAGAAATTTCTCTTAGGTTTCATTTTGCATCGACACGTTTTCTTACATTACTGTTTATTTTTAAGTTTACCAGAGAATATTTATATCTATAAATGTTAACGTTTCATTTTAAAAGAATATAATACACATTCCGGGTATGTTCTTGACTTGTTTATTTATTTATTTATTTTGGTTCTCTAACAGTGAGCACAATGTTACATGACAATATAAAGAGAAATGCACAAAAGAAAATACATTCCTATTGCCCCACCACTTACAAGAGAACACTGCATGCATTAAATTGATAGTAACATAAAAAAAAAATATTATCATTAATTATAAATTATCAATAACCAATTAATATATATATAATAATAAACTAACAATCATCAATTAATCTACATCATTCCACATTGGATCCAGGGCGCAAGATACATATAAATTGATTAACAATTAAAAATTACAAACAAGTTTCTTTATGGCCCGAACAGAAGAAATCACTAAATCCAATTCATCCTGGTAGATTCCATAAGCAGAGTACATCCGAGACAGCGGGCTGTGAAGTCTAAGATTAGTGTGATACTTGGGAAAAGAAAACAATTTGACATTATTTGATCTCTGTGGCCTGATCGGGGCAGCAAAATTTACCTTACATAATAAGTTTGGACAATCAACGATACCACAAAGCAAGTTTTTCAAAAATATCAAGTCCAACATTTGTCTACGCTTATCCAGTGAGATAAAATTAAAATAATCTAAGCGCTCTCTATATGACTTGAGTCTCCTGGCCATATTGCAACTATACGCTAAATGATACATAAAGCGTTTTTGCAATTTCTCAATTCTTTTAATGTGAACGTTATATGATGGTGACCAAACCACGCTACAATATTCCAAGTGACTCCTTACAAGTGAGCTATACATTGCTATTTTTACATGTGGTTTCTTGAAATTTTTACATTCTCTTAAAACAAAACCAAGAGACTTCGAGGCCTTCGAAACAATTGTATCAATATGTCTATCAAACTTTAAGCTACTGTCGAAGAAAACCCCCAAATCCCTGATACAATCCAATTCATCTAATTTTTTATCATTTATGATATAGTACGTGTCCAAACGATTTAAATTTCGGGTAAATTTGATGTGTTTACATTTTTTTACATTTAATTCCATTTCATTGTTAATACACCAAGTAGATAGTCTATCTAAGTCATCTTGTAAGAATCTTGAATCTAATACTGCTTTAACTTCCCGTGTAACTTTTAGATCGTCAGCAAATAAATATATCTTGGAATGTAAAAAACAGCTATTTATATCATCAATAAATAATGAGAAAAGGCATGGACCTAAATGGGAACCTTGCGGGATTCCAGAAGACGCTACATACGATCCAGAACTAAAACCATTGACAACTACATAAAGCTCACGTCCAGACAAGTACGATCCAAACCAACTCAACAGAGGCTCAGATACACCATATCTTTTTAGTTTGTCAATCAATATACAATGATTCACCGTGTCGAAAGCCTTGCTAAAGTCAGTGTAGACAGCGTCTACCTGTACTTTATTATCAACAAGCTCAACTAGATCCTCAACATACGTCACCAAATTGGCCGCAGTTGATCTCCCCTTCACAAAGCCATACTGATTAAAAGACAAAAAAGGAACCATATGCCACGATAATGTTGGATATATAACTGCCTCAAAGACCTTAGCTAAAGCAGACAATATCGCTATTGGTCGGTAATTAGTTACTAAAGCTTTACTGTCACTTTTGTGCACCGGAACAATTTTAGTTTTTTTCCACACAGATGGAAATATTCCATCATTCAATGATTTGTTAAATATTAAAGTAACGGGTATGCATAGATATTTTGCATTTCTAATAAGGAAAATTGGGGCTATATTATCAGGCCCTGGGCCTTTGTTCGAGTCAAGACCCTTCAAAGTGTCAAATACTTGCTTCTCAGCTATATGAACTGAACTTAAAGTTCTACTGCTGATAATCTGTTCATAGTTTGTAGTGTTAATTTTATTGGAAGATCCAACATAAACAGATGCAAAATGCGAAGCAAAATATTCACATATTAACTCACCCTGCCTTGAACTTGAAACTCCATCAGACATTACTTCCGGATAATTACTCTTACCACCCCTTTTTAATTTCAAGTAGTTCCAAAAATATTTAGGATTAGATACTATGTTACTTTCTAAGGTAGACAAATAATATTTATAGCAGTTGACTATCAATTTTTGACATCTCTTTTTTGCTATATTCAACGAAATCCCGTCCATAGGATTATGATATTTTTTAAATCTTATGCGAAGTTTATTTTTTTCATTTAGTCTCGCAATAAGCTGTCTAGAAAACCAGTACGGATATTTAGAATTCCTTTTTTTTTAAATGGTACAAATATTTGTATTAGATTTTGTAGCACTTCATAGAAAACCTTTACCATTTCGTCAACAGACATATCGTCACTAAATTTATGTTTCCAATCCAGAGATTCCAATTTTTTACCTATAGAATCATAGTCAGCCTTAAAAAAATTTAACTTAGGAATACTATCATTATAAGGTAGGGCAGAACTCATTATATTCATTAGTGTAAACTGTATGGGTGGATGATAATGATCAACTCTCGAAACAATGTTAGCCGGTGCTGTAACAGTTATATTTGGCATACTTGACAGTACTAAATCCAACACTTTATTATTACAATTATACAGACCATTAAACTGTTTTAAGTCATTCATAATCATAAATTCATGGATGGTCCTTGCTGCTGAGCCGTTTATTGATATGGGAGATAATACAGATTTATTATTATCAACTACAATCCAATCAATTGAACTAATATTAAAGTCACCCATAATTATATATTCACATGTTGTCATATCCATTACCCTATTAACACCATCCACAAAATGATCCAAAACAGCGACGTTAATTGGAGACGGAATATAAACTGCACATAAACAAATGCATTCAATACTATAACCCTTTTCTAATGTGATTTTAATCCATATGTCTTCGCATGAACTTTCATAATCGATCATACGGCAAGAGTTAAATCTCTTAGAAACTGCAACCAATACTCCGCCTCCATCCTTTTTTTCACTGAAATCGGTAACAATTCGATCACGCCTATAAACAACGTATCCATCATGAAACATTTCAGAATCATAAATACCATTATTAAGCCACGTTTCAGTAAATACATAAACATCATAATCAAAACTTAATATGTTCATATAAACATCTCTGACTTTAGTTTTTAGACCTCTCACATTCTGGTAATATATTTTTAATTTATCGAATTCTAGTGGAAATTAACTTATACATACTTAGACTAACAAAAATATTCTAAGAAAACATACGCAATTATTCTATTTTATTTAATGTAGTATTATCCTTTATGTACTTATAGTCCATTCCATCTGTTTTCCTCATATAAATTCTTCCGTTGCGTACCCAGACATACTGATAACCCTTTTCTTTAGCTTTTATTCTTGCTGCTGCATGCAGTTGCTTATTTGCTGGTGAAAGATGTTCTACAACATAAACATTTTCTATGTTGCCAGCGATTCCAAGTACCTTAGTATTAAGTCTATCATCAGGATTCGTCTTATTATATTTAATCGAAGCTGCAAGAAACTCATCTCGTACTCTGGGACTGCTGAATTGCACTACAATAGATTTTGGTCGCTTGCTTGACGTATCTCGCTTTGCCACACGCGTGACTTGATGTACATTCCCCTCGGTAATTGGACATGATATAACTCTTACCATATTAACGACAGTAGAAATTAGATTTTCTCCCTTAAATTCCGGTAAGCACTGAATCTCAACATTGGCCATTCTTGCCTGCTGTTCCAAAAGATTTACCCTAGCACTCAGATCGCATACAGTGGTTTCTAATTGCATATTCTTTTTTTGAAGCTCCGTGACTGCCGAAAATTTTTCAGCAACTTCTAATTTTATTTGCTCATAATGATTATTCATAAAAGTCATTGATTCATTCACATGAGCAATTTCCTCTTTAATTGATTTTAATTCGTTATTCACAAAAGTTGCCATTGTATTGTCCAGATGTTTAAGAAGATCCTTAATTTCGTTCTTTATAATGTCTCTAACATCCGATCGTGTAAGCGGTGCAGAATGTTGATCATTACACGAACTCGTTACTCCCTTTCTGCGATGAGTCACGTTACAATCGGGTGTTATGCTCTGTGATAAAGATGATGCCTTAATAGGTGTATTATCGCCAATAATTGCCTTTGGCTTACAATTTGGGCAGATCCAGTTGGGAAGGACGCTCAACTTCAATGATCCGTCACCAGACGCTATGACACAGCGATCATGATAGTATTTTTGCAGTGTGAACAATGCAAGGAATTCCCTCCAGTAATTGTTATGTTAAAAGTTTATGTCGGTGCCCTTTTAAATGAAGCAAGTGGAATACATTAGAGGGAGCAGGCAGGTACCGCACCTGATGGCACAGTAATTGTTCGTAACAAGTGGTTAGTGATGAGTGAGATATGAGTGCAAGAAGCAGTGTCGTTACCCGGGCGGTCGGCCAGCCGCGACGCCCTCCGCCGCGGTCCGGTGCGCGCGCGCCGCCACCTCCACCTCCGCCGCCACCGCCACCGCCGCGCCGGTCACCCACCTTGCCTGGCTCCGATGATTCTAATCGACACCAAGACGCTCTAAAAACTGGACTCCACTCTTAATTACTTACTCGTTATTTTCCGTGTAATTCTGAGTTGCATTTCATAATGCGACTTCTCTCGATTCTTCATTATTCAAAAATATAATGACATCATTAATTTATTTTCTATTATATATATTACTAGTTTCTATTTCTTCTGTAGGTAAATACGGTACCTATTTAAGAAAGTAATTTACGTTTAAACGTTAACGAATAAAATCAAAATCGTTTATTCAGTCTAAGCTGTTATAAGTACTTGTGAAATTTACGTAAATTTACGAACCGATGATGCCATCTACGGCGAGAGACTTTGTACGGAGAAGAACCGTCAAGTAAATCGGCAAGGGCTGCATTTTGTCTCTGTTTTATTTCATACAGAGTCATCAAGATGAAACATGAAAGCTCTCATCATTACTTATCAAAAGTCATAATTATGTCTAAATGATAGTTCAATTGACTGAGTTTTAAGAACTTAAATTGCTTGCTGAACTTTAATTAGAAATTCGATTTGTTGTGAACAAGACGGTGCTCTTAGAGAAGCTAATATTAATTAGACAATTCGTCGGTCCCTATTTCAGCGACAGTGGCGTAATTTAAGTTGTTATCAATTTTTGTCAATTGACTATAAATGTAATAATCATTTTTAATATAATAATGATTTATATTATTTTGTTAATTTTTATATTTCACAGCTTTAGGTATTATTATTATTACCAATTGACCGATCAATTAATGAATTCTATCATCTTTCATAAATTCAGTGTACACACACATTATAGATCATTGGTTAATTAATGATAAAGCACAGAAAGTTCAGAAAAATGTCGTAGCATACCAAAATATAAATCTTAACTATCATTTTACTTAGACACGATAAATGATGCTTTTTGAAAATCATAATTTATCAGATTATTTTATTTTCATTTATCATATAACAAAAAATGAGTTTTGCAATATAGCTTTCTAGAAATACATACGTTTGCAATACATGCGCTATTGCACCTTTTACGGAACCCCAGAAAGGAAGAATTTTAACCTGTCTCTGGGTTTGAAAAAGCACAATCATTTGAACGTTGTTCTGCGCCACGGTCCGCTGCGCACGAGTCAACAAACTTGCGCTGCTCACAGCTAAGATTCTAATCTTACTAGTTTTAATTCTTTACTTACAAAAATCAACTGCCAGTTTGTTATTAAACTATAATCATGATTGTAACGCGATACAAATAAATGCAAGTGACATACATATTCATTGTAGATTTTTATATAAATAAATGGTCAGTACAGAAATTTTACTGATATTTGAACTTTCAAGGACTACTTATCGTGATTTTAAACTAATAATAAATTCGAAGAGTTTTATAAAGAAGCAGAAGAAAAAACAGAAAGCTTTGCTGTAGATATTACTCTTTTTACACTACAGTGTTAGCTGTTGAATGAGCCCGCATCATATAAACTCTTAAAATTTTGAGTTTTACAAATTATAAAATGTGTCGGTCCACCATCTTGGCGGCCTACCTATTGAGTGTCGTCCTGTGCGCGATTGCCATACCAGAACCATCCGCCCCAATTACTATCAGTTCTTCTGGTTATATGTCCAGCCCACTGCCATTTAAGCTGAGCAATCCTTCGTGAAATGTCGGTCTCAGGAGTTCTCCTACGGATCTTACTTTTTGACAACTGGCTGGAAAGATACCATTATTTTATATAAATTTTATATTTTTACAATTTGTTCGTTTTCCCTTTGATTTTGTTCTCGATTTTTTACTCAATTGTTTCCATTATTGTTTCCCGTTTTAATTTAATTTTCGAAAAGATTACAAAGGAGAAATTACAGTCCAGTTAAAATTTAAATTAAAAAGTGAAAATGTAATTTTATTTATAACGTCAATTTGGAAGTGAACTTTTCATGCATCACTAGTGAAATATTAAAAAATATCTAACGAAAGCAAAACTACCTTCTATATTTGTTCAAGAACTTCAATTAAAGAAAGCTTCGTTACGAGTTTTTGAGTTCCTTTTGCAACAACTACTACTTGCTAGTTTTGTTGTAGTTTATGCAGTTTTACAAATAAACGTCCTTGCGTTAATTATACAGCTGTAAAATAAAAATTGTGCTGTAGGATCACTTTTCTACAGATAAGCGGAAATTGAGAATATCTTAGGCTCGCACAATATTCGCCCGATGAAGATTTGCTGGATGATGATCTACAACAATATCACCTCGAGATATTGCGGAACTTGCGATTTGTAAGTTTAATAACCTCCAACTGAAGCATCAGTTTTAAACGATTTTTTTTTATATTCTATTTGACGATATTTGCAGCGCGCTTTCTGTCAATTCTGTTTTGATAGAAATGACAGAATGCGTTACGTCATAAGGTTAGGCAAGGACCATTAAAACATAGTGTTAAAGTTAGAACGTATACAAAATCTTCGATTTTAATCTTAATTTATATTTACGAAACTAAAAATGTCTAAATTCTCGAGTGACTTATTATGTGCGAGTGTGCACATAATAAGGCACTCGAAGAAAGATGAACAATAGTCAGAAAGTAACACGCTCAGGCATTACAGAAATGATTCATTAAACTGTCCATTGAGAAATGTTCCAGTTTCATTACTTAAAATGTGACTGCTTAAATTCTACAGCGAAGTTTCTACATTTTAGAAGAAACGAAATAAGAACGCGCGCCGATTTGTAATCTATTTTATTTTTAACGGCTTCTCTGTTAACGGTTGGTTGCGCGCGAGTCGCGCTCGGCGGAGCGTGGCGGACTCTGCCTGAGCAGGTGCCGTACCAACTATAACGACGGACCTCGTTAATTACACGAGATATTCATTTGACAGCAATGTCGGAACACTGCCCTTTATTATCAGTTATAACACTTAAGACCACTACTCTTGATTATTACACACAATAATTGTTAGTTAAGTGCTGGCCCTTTCACATCTTGGGTCATATGGGTCATATTAGGTACTGTTATTGCAGACTTTTAATAAATAATAAATCCTTACTCTCACACAAATAATACTACATTATGATCGTTAAATTTAATTCTAAAACATTTTTTACTAACATTCAAAGTTTATTTATTAAACTGAGTAGTACTTAAGGTCACTCACTCATTGCAGTGGAGTTGAATTATATTTCAATTACATGGTAACCACATGGTAACAATTCTATTATTAACATTCTTTTTCTCTGCTCCACTTCAATGAACGGTAACGAAACGATGCGGAGCAATCGTGCAAAGGTACAGTATGAAAACCTTAATTTCTCGGAGCGGCGAGCGGCGCTACGAGGTGCGATAACGCAAGAACTGCTCAATTATGATCACATTATGGGTTTGATCATGCTGTAGTCCAATTGATGTCTCATATCTCTTTTGAACATCCTAATTTTGCAATTGTTGTTGAAAAGGTCTCCTTAAAACTGTGATGGTTATCGTGTGATGTCGATGATAAGGATGCCTATCCAAGTGTGATATTCCGTCGTGCGCTCATTTTTATTTTATAATAAAACCTCACTTCCTACAATCATTTCCTAATTATGACCCCCTTGTGCTTTCAGCTGTACTCAGAGTGATTCGCACCGTACAATACTGTGACACTACTCTATTCTGTTTCGACATATAAGTACACTGATAGCTGATAAAGCTACTCCTGCTTCTTGGAGAGCCAAACTTAAGTAGACTCTCATTCTGTCTCGATTTATTTTATTGTTAACTTCTACGAGTGTTTTAGAGAACCTTGAAATGATTAAAATCTTACGTAGATGCAATTTAACCCAAATATTGTGAAATTAGATGATAGAGTATGACGCACGGACAGATGTATATGACACTAAGTGGGCGAGCTGACGGTTCTTGTATGACTAAGGATTAATAGCTATTTAACAATCAACCCACAGAACATGAGACTGGTGTTCATATATATTTATCATCATTACATAGACGCTGTCTTATTATCATCAGTCTCACTTGCTAAATTTTTTGGAGTGGCTTGGATAAGCAAATTTGCAGAGTACGATTCTTTAATATTGATTTAGCAATGTGACTTATAAATTTAATCTTTACATCAACTGAAACATTTTCTACAATTCAAAGGATTTAGTGTCATAACTTGGTTTGAGTATTTTGAATTTAATAGGCATGTCTATTCCCTAAAATTAGAAATCAAAGATTTCAACTAACGAGTACATTAATAACCCTGCAATAAGTTATGGACAGTCTCATTAACAAAATGATATACCATTGCTTGTAGTACATAAGCGCGAGGTATGGTGGATTAAACGAACATTTCCCATTACCGACCGTTTCCCATAAGAAAATCAATAATTACCGCAACCAACCACAATCGCATGTAAGCATCGGCAGAGGGCGTTTAGATTGGAATGCAATCACACCATCAGCTAACAGCGTTTTAATTATGTTGTCGTACTGATTCACGTCTTAATAAACCAAAGCGTTCATTAGCGGTTTTCAATTTTACTGTAAAAACATTGAAGTCTTCTTAATTGTAGCTTTTAAAACACAGAAATATTGCAGATAACTTATTAATTGGTAATGGAATATTTCCTCTGAGAAACACGCAATGTCCTAATTGCGTCCCTTATGTCTCCTCCCTTATTTTCTTTTACATTTATGAAATAACGGTGTTACCAACCGCCCACTCTATGCGTTCAAGATAAAAAACAAAAATCACCTAGTAGTGCATACTAGTGTAGTGTAATAGTGGAGATGCACCTTAAGCCTCAAACCAGGCCTGTCCTGCCACCCCACCCTAAAAAGGGCAGGTTTGTGTGAAAGACCTACCTGGTAAAACCCGCTGCGGTTCACCTCACACGGATAGGAAGAACTCGGTTTCCTGCTAGGAGGGCCCGGTTTCTTCCGGACTGTTGGGACTCCTATCGGGGGGGAGAGGAGTCGCCCTCTGCGGGAAGGAAAGACTTGGATGAATAACACCCACAGATAAGCCTTTTCCTTTTTAAGCCCGTGGGCTAATCCCAGGGGGGTGCGGGTGGGGTGTCAGCCCTCGTCCGCCGATAAGCCGATAGTTAGATAGATAGTTACCTGAAATGTTTAGGAGTCTATTTTGTAAGTTTTAAATTTTCTACACTATATTTAAATTATATATATTCTTATTATTACCTAAAGGCTATTCTTAAAGAGCCTCTCCGACTAGCCTAAGTTGGTCATCAACTTCTTAGAATCATGCCTAGTTCCTGCGATTCGGAACATCTCGACTGTACTAGCTACTCCCGTTCACTCTCTTATTTTGTGGATCATTATAAATTAAATAATTTCTTATATCTGATGTCACAAAGAGTCGAAAATTTCAATGCTCCTTTTAAGTTCTTTAATAGTCCAAGCCTCTATAAAATACAATAGGCCAGATATAACAATGATGCAATCGAGTGCGTAATGCATTTGATTCTGTTCTTATTCTCAACATCTCTGCTCCATTCATTCATTAATTGTGTTTAAGCATATATCCACGTACCTACATTTTGTCATTTACACTTGTTTTTTAAAGAATGTCTAAGAAAGGTAGTTCTTAGATATGACGAGTTCCAATTCGTCTCAGATCTCTAAGGAAGACGCATTTTAAATTTGGCAGCGCACATCATTCAAAAGTACGATAGATATTACGCGTCGGTGTGTACGGTGACTGGTAAATATATCAGTGGGCACGTGCGCGCGCGCAGGCCGCGCCGCAGACGCTCGTTAGGGCTGCGTAATGAGGCGGTCGTATTTACGAGGCCACCTAATGCTTGTCCGATGCGACCGCCCGATCCGGGTAATTTACACGGTGCGCCGTTTGTAATGGTGAAATTCATGATTGCCCATTTGCATGTGGCGAACGGGGCGTCGTCGTGACTGTGAAAAGGGAGATTTCACTTTTGACGGTAAGATATTTCTATTGCATAGATGAAAAAAATAAGTATCAAATGGAATGTGATTTCTAATTTTTGACCAATAAAGTTAAACTACCGAAAAGACACCCCGTTGTAATAAATTCACACTTTCACACTGATACACGTCTGCAAATGTCATCAGTCAATCCTGGGTGGATTGCCTGAACATTGATGAAAATACGCTCAGTAGTAGCGAAAAAGAAACAAGTGCTTGATATATTCGACGGTTCTGTTAGGGCGCTTGTGCACTACACTGAATTTACAGGTCCGGCGGTCCGATTTTTTCCGGTACGGAATGACATGAAAAACCCGGATAAGTAGCTTGTGCACTTGTCCATTTTTTTCCTGATCGGAGCGGCGCAGTGTAAGGCAGCTCTCTTTGAAGCTACACGTCACTTACGCTAGGTACGAAGAGATTTTTGGAACGTCGGTAATTGCGTTCGAAGATAAAAAGGTACCTAAATAATGATCTGATCATTTTAATTTTAAACCATAATAAATTAAGGCAAGACGAAAGCATTTTTTTACTACTATCGGATGACTACTATCTGATGTAAAAACTTACACCCTTACTAATTTAGGAATAACAACATTATTCACATACAATATCGAAAAATTTCTGTGACATTAGAATAAAATTACTGATAATGGTCTAGTACTTGATGTTTAAATTTATAAACGTGCTATTTTTTTTCGAAGTTTTGTAAAAACAACTTTAAGCGATTACAGATATAGACCAATCGGTGGCGCCATTTCGTAAACAAATCGTACTTTACAAGAACAGTTGACTGTATTATATACAGGCATAATTTTATACGCGTGGTGTAGTTTCTTTGAGCAGAAATATTTTTCCCTTAGACTACTTCTTTTTTTTAAATTTATTTATGACACAAACAGTCATTTAAAATTTTATGAAATGCGAAAAAGACATTGAGCGTCACTTAATTACTTCTGTTAATTTTCTGTTTATTCTTATTTCTGTTATCAAATATTTATCTATACTTATCAATTATCAAAAAAAAATTGATAATGACAAATTTCCAGGCAAACTTTCATCCCCTATTTTTTGCGATAAAATGTAACCTTTGTCCTTTCTTAAAGTTAAGTCTATTTACTATATTAATTTCCACTAAGATGGGTTCAGTTGTTTAGGCGTCTAAGCATAACAACACTTATTTATCTTACCTTAAGTTATCGATACTTTTAATACAATTCTAAAATCTAGCTAAGTATTGATAATATAACCATACTCTAGTCATTTTGAACTATACCGAGTTTGCCAAAGCATATGCAGTGATATTTACCAACTATATTAAATTATCTTATAAAATATAGCATATTATAATCTACAATAAATATCGATTATAAGTTTATTGGAAATTAACAATATCGTCGAAATAAATATCGATTATACACAAATCGATTATTTTTTCCCAAGCCTATTCCTTATGAATTTGCACAAGCGTAAACACGTTTTTCATTGCCGCCATCACGGACCTGAAAAAATCGGTCCGGAATAGAAAAAAGTTAAATCCCGGACGGTAAAATTCCTTACAGTGCACAGGCTAGCATTACCTATGGCCTGACATATCGGACCGGAAAAATCGGACTGCCGGACCTGAAAATTCAATGTAGTGCACAAGCGCCCTAAGTTCCTGGTTCAGTGGTTGAGTAGATCTGATCCCATCTCAGAGTACCAGGGACAAAGTGGTTTTTTAAGTCATTTTTCATCAAGAATATTATAATTGCATTTTACAATATTTCAAGTCTCACATTCATATATGTTCAGAAAAATAATATAATTTTTGCTGGTTATTTTTCCAAGAGCTCACAGTGATGTTAATACCCGCACTCTGTACCCTGTCCCCGTCGACCAATATAAATTACCCATATAAGACATTATGGCTTGTTGTTGCTTGTATAAACGTTGGAATAGCTCGTCAATGGTTACAAGGTCTGTATAGGTGGTGACATAACTGATCTCTGAGCGGGGCGGCTGCCGTAAATATGTCGCGCGACGTACGGTCGGCGTCGGCGCCGGCGCCTGCCCGTCTTGAGCACGCGCATTCTATGTCCACATCTATTATGATATTTATTACCCGAAGACAGTACTTAAACATGCTCATTTGCAACAACATAACAACAGTTCTACACTACCTTATTGTTATAATTAAAGTCGGCTACTTTTATCCAGTTTATGCAAGCCACCT